AAAAAAAAAAGCCAAGAACGGAACTAGACAGACATTTGCAGAATAAATGAACTAAATTTGTGTAGAACGCTATTCTTTTTTCTGAATAAGGTTGGAACTGTTAGGAAAAGACAAAACAGATATTTGGTGACAGAAAGTCATGGGAATGAGCTGCAATGATCTTCTTTTCATGGCACAATCATTGGTAATGATGATGAATAGCGGCTACCTATACAATGCTACGATTTCCGCATCGGCTTATGAAAGCCAGCGCCCACGCACCGGAGGATCCCGCGCGCCGCCTCCGCACGCCAGCGACCCGCGCACAGCCTACGTGATACGGAAGTGGTAGTCAACCCCGGCGAGTCCGACGAGGAAGAGGACGATGGGCTCGATATTTGGTTGGAGAACATGTTCGAGGAGCCATCTAGTCCGATTTATCGACCATCATGCGTACGAGATTGGCCGAAAGGATGTGGTCCACAGGCTAAATTGAAGATCAAGAAGCGCAAGACCAAACGAGTACAAAAGAAACGCAAGGCGAAGACTAAGGAATCATGTTGTTGGTGTAAGCCTTGTACAAAGAAGAGACGAGCCCGAAGAAAGGAGGCTAGAAGGCGTGGGTTGCGATGGGTCGACAAAGGATGGTGGATACCGGCCGAGGGATGTGCTAGGTTGGATGGTTGGGAACCGTGGCCCGAACCAAAGGTGGCAATCGCCGGCGAGGAGGGCGACGGCGATCGGCCCATGGGCGAGTGGCGCGCATCGGCCCATGATGCGCGCGGGTGGACCGAGCAGGATGATGTACGCGGGAGTTCGGTTGGCGGGCGAGTCGCGGACGTCGACTGGGATGCGTTGGCGTTCGGGGGCGTAGCGACGGGGGAGCGGTCCGCTGGCGGGGGAGTTGCGTGCGACGCAGCGGGCGCACGGGGATGCGCAGGAGACGATCGAGGCCTGCGGGCGAGGGAGACGACGCGCAGCGCAGCGGACGCGGTAGGATGCGCCGTAGGCGATTGGGGCGCGGACGGTAGCCAGCACGCGCAGGGCATGGACAGCGACGAAGGGCCGCGCGCATTGGCGCGCGAGTGGAGTGCGGACGCGGGCGGAGGCCTAATCCGACCGGGCGTAGGTGAAGGCATGGCAGACGCGCACGCGCAAGAAGCAGGTCGCACGGGCGAAGGGCGCGCGAATGGTGACGCGTGGGGTACGAGCGCGCGAAGCCTAGTGACCGAAGGAATAGGCGAGATGGGGTCGGCGGACGCTGGCGTGCGGGACACGGCGCAAGTGTCCGCGCGCGACGAGGAATGCGAGGCGGCGTGCGCAACGCGTGCGACGCGTGATGCGTGAGGCGGCCGAAGGTTTTGGACATGTGATGTGGATTTGTTTGGAGTGCAAGCCAAGCAAAATCAAGATCTAGTCAATTTAGGACTTTAGATATTTAGTTTCCTTCTTGCACAATAATATCTAGAATGTATAGGTTATTTAATATTTTATTGCTTTAATATGTTTCCTAGGTAGATTAGAATTAGTCATAGTTAGGATCTATAAATAGGGATGTTCCCTCATTGTTTTTCATGTCGAAGATGAATTAGAAAAGAACGTTTGTTCGAAACCGTGTGTTGAGAGTCGTGAGATTCGATCATACAAATCGAATTGGTGAGGCTAAGACCCGAGCCAGTTCAAACGATTAGAGAGGCTAAGACCCGATCTATTCGCGAGTGAAACGAGGCTAATAACCAAGTGAACTCAAGTATCGTGAGAGAGTTAGGCTAATAACCGAGTCGATCACACCTATCGTCGAGAGCAAGGCCGTGGCGAAGCCGTGATCGAGACAAGTCGAGGACACGCAACACCAGATCCTTCATCACTACGACCGTCCGCCTGTCCCGACGCGTCCCCGTCAGCGAACCGCCACAAGGGATTTGTAGTCGGAAAAGTTGTACGTGGGTGATCACATTGTAGGCATAGAAGATGGTGTTGTGTTTAAAATTATTAAATTTATTTTTAAAATATAAATATACACATGCATCTGCACTTACTTGACATATTGTATTTTTAATTAACACCTAATATATAAATCATCCAAATATCAAAATAATTGGTCTGTACAATGCCAGAATATATTCACTCTCTGTTGCAGAATACACACACCTTGCAAATAATAGTGCACTTAAAATCATCTAATAAAACCATGAAAATAACTAAACATGATTGATTCTTGACATAAGTAACAATAATGTGCAAGGATTTGATCAATATTTACATCAATGTCCATGAATTTTTCAACAAAAACCCTGCTTCAAAACAGATTTGAACAGCTGGGTTTTTGCTAATCACAGTAACCACCATGCAAACTTTAACTAATGAGTTAAAAATTAGTCGAAATTGATTTAATCATTAAATGATATTCATGTTCCACAAGAAATAGACCAGAGAAGACAACAGGCTAAAAAATAAACAAATAAACTAAAAAAAAAATCTAGCGTGATAAATACGAAAAAGTAAGGCATTTTGGTCTCATTTCTTCGCCTTTGCAAACCTCAAGCAGCGGTATTTTTCGCCACTAACAGTAATCTCAAGGGCTCCATCTTGATTGTCTTGATTTGAAGCGGTCCCCATGAGCACACTTTTCTCTTTCTCGAGATTTTCTCGTTCAATCTTTAACCTGGCTTCCTGCCGAGCAATCTCTGCCTGAAATCAACGAGCAGCCTCACATTAGTAATCTCAATACAGAGAGGTGACAAAAAGTTGTCAAAACTACTATTCATGTCTAGCCCACTAATAAAAATCATATCTTTAAGAAACTACAAATAACATATTGCGATTTGCATAATATTAATTCGTAAATTCCGAATGACAAGATCCTATTGTGTTTTGGCTAAACCTTAAAGCTAGTTTCCATTCGTAATTAACAAAAAATTGTTCAATTGTAGTTGATACAGAGTTGGTTAAGCTGACAGAAAGGTCAAAATGGAGCCAGAAACAAGTTGACGGCAATTTTTTAGCCGTCGAAAAAGGTAAACCACGTGGCTCTTGCGCAATCCATATCTTGGCAAGACGCTTTCGATAAATACAAAATCTACTCCTGTATTTGAAAAGGTTACATCTTTCACAACCAATAATTGCAGAAATTCATTAGAAGCTACGGGGAATGACAAACATAAACATTAACTGGTATAGAAAAGCATGAGCATCCTGGCTGGAAAATGCTGAATGAAATCCAAACTAAAGCAACACTTTACTGCTTTACTCTTTTCCATCAACTCTACCGTGATTAGATAACTGACTACATAAATAAGAAAGTTTAGTTACAAACTAAAACCTTCCGGGGAGGATGATAGTTTACGATCTAAAACTGGTTCCTAACTAGACCTTCAACACTTCCCAGCCTAATTTAATTGCCAACACTAATTCCTAACTAGACCTTCAACACCATTTATACACAAACTGAATCTTGGCTGCAGAAGGCCAAAAAAAAAAAAAAAAAAATGATGCACGAATCCCATCTAAAAATGTGCCTCTCTCTAATTATGATTCAAAACAATAGTTCTTTAAGCTCAAAAGAAATTATCAAACACAACTAATCTACCACCTTACACCATTGACTGCAAAGAAAACAGACGTAAAACAGGATACACAATCGCAATTTCCCTGGATTAAACATAAAAATAGCTTCTAAAAGCTCTACTATAACTAAACAACTTCATGCTTAAGACACCCAATGAGCATTTTGGGCTTGCTTCTACCATACAATCAGACAAAAAGATTCTTGCTGAATCTGAAAGCAGATTAATAATAAATACACAGTTGACTCATTGTAGCTGATTGACAAATTAATAATTAAATACGCAATGAATCACCCACAACAACAGTCCCTAATTCGGCGTAGTTTCACATAATCACGCAGCCATTTCACCAAAACTCAAGCTACCACTTCAAAATCGTAACGGTCAAGAATACGTGTACCTCACGGCGTGAGAGCTCGGCTTTCCAGGCAGCTTCACGCTCGGCAACCTCACGTTCTCTCTCTTCAATGTAGCTCTGCATTTCTCTCTCCTTCATGATTCTATCCTGTATGTCTGCCTCAAGAGCCTCCTTCAGCTCTTGGACAAACCTATCTACCACTGATTTTATCCTCAGAGACATAAAAAAATCAAACCCCCCTTTACCACTAACTGGGATTTTCTTTTCTTTTCTTTTTTTTTTTCCCTTTTGCTGAAAACACAATTTCCAGTCCTATTCACGCAAAAACACAAACACCTGCAGCGCAATAAATTTTTTCATTTATCTCTTCCTGTGGATAAAAATTAATCACGCATTTTGCCTTTTTTTTTCCAAACATAACATCCTAAGAAATTAAATTGCACCAGCCCCATTAGAGATACCACCATCAAAGAACAGGTACCATCAAAGAACAAGAAAAAAGGATGTAAAACTCAAAGACAGGCACAAACAGGTCACAAACACAAACAATTAGCAAGAGTGAGATAACAGAGATAGATGAAAGATTCTACCTTTGAAGGAAAATAAAGAATTAAATACAGCGATTATCGCAGCTCGGAGAACGGAGATGGCTTGATGGGTATACTTGAGAGAGCGAGAGAGATTGGTAAACTAATGGGGTTTGGAATGTTCAGAGGGAAAAGGAGAAGAAACTCCGAGTCCACAAACCGCAGGGCCCCATCAAATTTTGCTTCTTTTCTTTCTTTGTGTAAATAATGTTTTCCAACCTCTACTATCCTAAAGTATTTTTTGTCGTACAATACAACCCGAATTATATATACAGTTACTATTTACACGCTCGATCACATCTTGACCGTACACGTGTCCTTTTCTGCAAATGATCAGATGATCAAAAAGTAGTCGAACGTGTAAATAATTGTATATATGTAGTTCAGGTTGCATTTTACCACAAAAAAATTAGGTTTAAAATTCCAAAAATATATGGAAAACATTATTTCCCCTTTTGCTTTCATTGCTTGCAATTTGCAAACCATTTGTTTTGTTTTTTAGGCACAGATTTATATATAGTACTCCCTCCTATTCATTATAAATATTGTTTTGACTTTTTTGATTTATACATTTTGTTATGTATCTAGACATATTAATGTCTAGATACATAATAAAATGGATGAATCACAAATGTCAAAACGATATTTATAATGAACAGGAGGTAGTATTTTATATTAAAATATATATATTTTGGGGCCTGAATTTGAGAGTCTTAAATCAAGATTGTGTATTTTTTTTTCCTTTTAATCTCTAACTTTTAATAATAGTTTTAATGTAACAAGGAAAAAATTTCATATCCATATAATTTCCTTCTCTTTGGACATTAAGCTACAACAGAATTAAAATAAATTAAATATTCACTCGTTTATAGTACCAAAATTATATCTATACAACTTTTTAAATAAAACAAATCATTACCACATTTCTTTATAAAAATTATTAGTGATATATTCAAATTTTTTGGGTGTTGATTTTTGCCGCCCCCCTTTTCGATTATTACCGCCCCCCTAAAAGTCGTTTTTGCCCTTTTTAATAAAAAAAAAAAATACATTCATTATTCACTTTACATATTTTTTCTCCCGGTTCCGAACTTCGAAAAATTCCGAAAAAAATTCCGACCTACTCCGGCGACGACGATGGCGGCGAGTAAGGTAATTTTTTTTTTTCTCGGCGGCCGGCCGGTTCATCCCTGGCCGGCCGCTTATGCTGGCCGGCTCAGGTCTAGCCGGCCAATGTTGCCGGCCGGCCCTTGGTCAATGTATTTTGACTCTAGCCGGCCGGTCCATTTTCGGCCGGTTTTGTTAACCGGCCAGACCTGAACCGGCCGGTCTGGCGGGCCGGCCGGCCGGCGTGACCATTTTTTTTTTAATATATATTATATATAATTATATATTTATAATAATATACGAAATATGATAATATATATTATAATTTTTTTTAATTATATATTTATAATATATATTTATAATTATAATAATTATGAAATATAATTATATATTTAAAAATATATATTCAAGATATATTGAAAATATAATTATATATTTAAAAGCATTAAAAATATATATAATTATAATATACGAAAAATTATTATATATTAATTACATATAATTAATATATATATAATTATTAAAATATATATTAAAAATAATATATATGAAAAATAATTAATATACGAAAATATGAAATATTTAAAATATTTTTAATAATAATTTTGTAGTCATATATATATTATTATTAAAAAGTAATAAGTATTTTTAAAATGTGTTGTTATAATATAATATAAATTATTATTTTTTAATGATTACTTATAATTGATTATGTTTTGGTAATATATTGCAGGCGCCAGTTGAGGATTTTGGAGGAGATAATGTTGATTATTGGCGTTTTTTTAGAACAGATGAGATATTTGATAGTCTTAAAAAAGCTATTAACTATGCAGTCGGTATGGCAACTATCTGTGGTTTTGAACTAATTATTTCAAAGCACTCAAAGGGAGGAACATTGAGGATTCTGAAGTGTAACCGAGGGGAACGTTATCGAGGTAATAAAATATCCAATCTTATTAATGCTGTCCTCAGAAAGTCGAAAACAAAATTTACCGGATGCCTGTTTGAGATGAAATTGAAAAAAGTGGCCGGTACGAATGATTCCTGGAGTGTATGTTTTCCTCTGGATGACCGGAAGGGATACCATAATCATCCGATGGTTTTGTATCCCGAAGGTCATCGACAGTTCAGCGGATTGAGTGAAAAGGCGAGACAGATCGTCCGTGACAT